AGTTCAATCCCCCTTTCGTGTACTAGGAAACCAAGGAAGTTTCCTGCATTACCACCAAATGCACATTTCAAGGGATTCAATTTTAGTTTATATTGCCTCATTCGCTCAAATGAACATCTCAATTGTTCAAAATGATCCTCTTCTTTAATGGATTTGACCACTATATCATCTACATACACCTCAACAAACTTGCCTATCATATCATGAAAAATCAAGTTCATTGTCCTTTGATAAGTCGCTCCTACATTTTTCAGGCTGAAAAACATAACTACACATTCAAAACATCCTAGAAATCCAGGGCGTCTAAAGACAGTTTTGTGTATATCTTCCTTAGATATATAAATTTGATTGCATCCTGAATACCCATCCATGAAGGAATATATTACGTGTCCGACAGTCGAATCTACTGAACAATCTACCGTAGGCATTGGATATTCATATTTGGGTGTGCCTATGTTTAGCTTCCTAAAGTCTATTCACACCATTAATTTACCATTCTTTTTTAGTAATGGCATGATATTGGACAACCACTCAATATATTTGGCTGTTCTAATAAAGCCTATTTTTAATAATCGCTGTATCACTTTCTTTATTTCAGGAAGTACATTATGAGCAAAACGTCTAGGGATTGTTTATGAGGTTTAAAATTTGGCTTGGTTGGCAATCTATGTTCTATCAAATTTCTATCTAAACTAGACATATGTTCATATTACCAAGCAAAACAGTCCTTATATTCCTTTAATAAAGCAATTAATTATCATTAGCCTCTTGATCGAGCATCTGACGAATGTTGGGCGATGTTCCCCTTCATTGCCAATATTCACTTTAACTATAGGGTCTTATGCTTGAGCGTATCCAGGCTTGGTGGTCCTCATTACTTCATCGTCCATATCCCTTATAGGCACTTCTTCTTCTAAACAATCTACTTTGTTGACTTCTCAGCCAATACTTCGTTCCAACTCGAACAATACCAAATTGTCTCCCAATGCTTTCAAGGCTACTTCTTCTTTCGTCTTATCTTTATATTCTTTATTGAAAGCCATTAACTTGGCTTTGAAGGCCTGAACATCAGCCATTTGCATTCATTGCTTACAACTCATTTAAAACTCTTTGATTACTTTTTTGTCAATTAATGGCTCCTCCAGGGCCATTATGTTTGGCCTTATTTGACTGAACATATCAGTGAGTGCATCTAATGAAAACAGCTCTTCACTCTGTATAACAATTTGAGTTACTTCTCCATCTTGGACTGCTCTGATAGGTCCGTAATTTCCCTCGTACATGAACCTTT